TAATATTAATAGACATTAATATTAATATCTAGATAAAATATGCATACTACACTGTGTATAACAAGCCTTATATAAAGAAATTAGACGGCATAGAAAATTTAATGTTAGTTTATATCGGACGGTCAATGTCCATATATATAATTATAAAAAAAAAAAAATATATATATATATATATATGTATGTGTGTGTGTGTATATATATACTGACTACATATATTTCTTTATATAATGGAACAAGTTTACAATAATTCATTTATAAATTCTTTTGGTAAGTAATTTTATCTTTTCAAAGTTCCTTAAATACTAGAAAAGAGTAATATGCATTAATTATAAATAGAAGATTTCTATATTTTAATAGGAATTTATATTGTTATTATTTATTTGTACAATTTCGAAGTAAGAGTTAAGGTTGTGCTATAATTCTGGTATTTGATAAATTAAAGTGTTTTGGAAATATTTTATAATATATAAAAAACAAAAATTTTAAAATTAAAGGAAATGTAATATGAACAATTAAATATAGAAAGTTTGAATTGTCACGCTGTTTTTTACATAAAAAATAAAGTTATGCCAATTATTTTGTTAAAATGCATATATCTGAATCTAACTTATTATATTGTATTAATATGCCATACAAAGAACAATGTTAATCTCCATTTTTTTATCTAGAAAAGAAATGGAAAAAAACTATTGAAATTTTCGACGCTTATAGAGATGAAAACATAGATTAGACTATGAAAAACTCTTGAAAATTTTTGAGACCCTATCAAACATTATACAGGAAAATGTCTAGAAATGTTAGTATAGGACCTTCCATAATTTAAACGAATCTACCTTCACACTTCGGGGACTGCGAAAAATTTCCAAACACCCTGTATGAGAGTGACTAAAATACAACAATTATTACTCCCAGGTATGTGTCATTCTTGGCACTGAAAGCATCATATACAGAGTTTTTCGAGTCGCTGAATTAAAATCTGGACTCCTTTACTTGAAATCCTTAAAACCTAAGGCCTTAAGCTAAATCCTTAAGTTCTTAAATCTAAAGTCATTAATCCTAACGCTTAGACTCATAACCTTAAATCGCAAATCCTTTAGCTAGGAACTAAACTCGAATCTCAATCTTAAACATAAAAAGTTTAAACATGATCTACAAAGCGAGAACCCTTCAATGATTAACTTTTAAATCTTAATTAATCTTTATTACTTTATTATCTCTTGTTCTTTCGTAGTATTAATAATAATTAATAACTCGTTTTCAATCTCTAAAAAATATTTACGTGAGAATAATAACAATATTATGGTCACGAGAGCTGATAAGAATCAGATTACTGTTATGGATAAGAAGGATTATTTTGAAAAAATGGATTTATTATTGAATGACCAATTTACATATAAAAATTTGAAGAAAGAAAAACTTTTAAAACTGTTAACTAACAAGATAAACGAGTTAATCAAATCCTGGCGTAAGAATAATCTGATTAACGAAACGACTTATAAATATTTAAATTGTACTAAAGGGAATTTATCATGTTGTTATGGTCTGCCGAAGATTCATAAGGACGGTTTTTCGTTAAGAATGATAGTATCCGCACTTGGCCCGGTATACAATATCTCGAGTTATATCTACGATTTTATATAATTCAATCAAGAAACCAAATTCATTTGTTAAGGATGGTTGGTCCTTTGTCACAAATATAAGTATACGGTTATTAATGATGATAATATTATGATATCGTTGGATAATATTATGATATCGTAACGTTAGTTTATTTACAAATATTCCCAAAGATTTAAAGTCTTAAATGTCATTAGAAAATGATGGGCTAATATTGCGAAGAACACAAAATTTAATTTAGCTTAGTTTTTATATACAATAGAAATGTGATTCTAGATTCAACTTACTTTTCCTTTGACGTTTTATGAACAAATCTTCGGCACCCCAAGGCTCTCCGTTATCTAGTCTTAGCAGATATGGTAATGGATGATTTGGAGACACAATGTTTGAATTTTACTGTTCCCATCTATTATAAATTTGTAGACGATGTTTTTGCCATAGTACCACGTACACAGATAGACGAGATTTTAACGACTTTTAATAATTACCATCAACGTTTAAAATTCACTTATGAAATTGAGATTAATTCGTCTATTAGTTTTTTAAATGTAACTGTCATTTGGTCTGACAACAGACTTATTACTAATTGGTATAGGAAACCTACATGGTCCGTGAGGTATATAAATTACAATTCAAACCATCCGTTGAAATACAAAATTAATAATTTACAATTTGGTTGGCCATGCAATTTTATTATCTAATGATAGTTTCCAACAAAAAAATATTGAGTTAGTACATGATATCTTACTCAATAACTGTTTCCCTGTACAGGGTTCTTCCGCAACATACAGATCGGTAAGTCGAGTTGCCTATCTGACGATCGGTCTTCTTTAATTACACTATATCAATGTTAAAAGCTGATTTCACTTTCCTCATTCCCTACGGATTTGCATTTAAGATATCAATCAAGAAATTTTTTCACTTTTCACGAAAAAAAATTACATGATCAATCCTCTGATTTTATTATTTTTCAATTATGCGAGGTCGGTAAAAGAAGACCGATCGTCAAAGGCAACCCGACTTACTGATCTGTATGTTGCGGAAGCATCCTGTACATATCATAAAATGACACATACAAAAAGGAATCAATTTTTTAAATAATCGTGATCACAACAACTGTTGACGCAAATCTTACACGTTTTGACAGGACATCTTTTATTTCATTACAATAAGTGGAAAACGTGAGTCATGACTTGTGCCGTCTATTACGAGGTAGTGGCTTTAATGTCGTCTATAAGATAACTAAAAAATTAAATACTTTAATAAAATGCGGTAAGGATATTTTGCATAATAACGATAAAACAATTGTTGTATTAAATTGCAAAAATTGTAATGTGTCATACATTGGGCAAACAAAAAGACATCTACGTACTCGAGTGAAAGAACATTTTAGTAATATAAAATTACATGAAACGAATCATTCCGTCATAAGTAAATATAGATTGGAATCTGGACATGAATTTGACTGGTTGAAACCTAATACTTTACACAATGAAAAATATGTACGAAAGAGAGAAATTGCTGAAATGTTTTATATTAAGAAATTTAATAATTTAATCAACCTACAGAAAGACATGGATAGTTTAAACAACATCTACGACAAAATAATAAAGGTCGTGTAGTTCGTTATTATTTTTGATTTAACATATTCAGTTCGTTGCTGAAGTTTCATACTGACACATCGTTTTATCTCTCGATTTTAAATTTAGTAAGATGTAATGATCTTGCAAACGTGACTTGTGCAGTTTACAATACTATGATTTATATCTATCTTTTCATCTGTATGTACAAATTGTTCACATTTAATTCGTGTGTGTACTGTTTATTCAAACTGTTGAGAAATCTAATTGTTAATTTCATTTTCCAATATATACTTAAAAAGGACCACAACCGTATGGTCGAAACGTCGTAACTAATAAACAAAATTTCTGGCTAATTTTGGTCGAGTACATCATTTCCAATGATCCTTTGATTAATTAACTAGCAATATTAAGATAATTTATGAAATTAATAATAATGTTGCCAAATATTATTAGTAAAACCAAAATACCAAACTAAATATTATTAGTAAACCAAAGTAAAAAAAGATTAATTAAGATTAAAGCATTAAAGGTTTAAGAAATTGGGATTTTTAAGTTTCGGGTTAAAACATTCAAGATTTAAGGTCTGTTTTGAGGTCTAACAGTTCAAGAGTTGAGAGTTCAGTGTTCTAGGACTGAAACTTGAAGAACTTCGAGTTTAAAAATTCAAGGTTCGATGGTTTCCCAAGTAACATCCTTTTGTTTTATATACGTTTCTAAACGTATCCAATATTTTCTAATCGTAAAGCATTAATAAGAAACATTTCTATAGAAACGCTTCATAGTTAAGAAAATGTAATTTTCACGTTTTTATAGACAAAATAAAAACTAATTTTTATTAATTTCAAATTAATTTTAAATTATATATGTATATATACATATATATATATATATATATATATATATGTGTGTATATATACATATATATATATATATATATATATATATATATATATAATTATTACGAAAACTATATTAATATCTATTTACAAATATATCAACAAGATCACTAAGAATCAGTATTTCATTGATGTCTAGTAAAAACTCTTATTTTTTGCCACTTTATCTCATTCGTTATAGACAGTGGAAGTAAAATTTTACTGTAAAATCAGTAACCTCTAGTTCGTTTGTTTACCGCTACGGTACGCTATTTTATTCGTATTTAAGTTTTAGTCATGAGAATTATATAAAGCTTGCAAAGAGCAACAGATAAAATTGAACATATTGCTTCGAGTTAATTTTTGATACAATCTCAATAGAGAAACTTCAGATATTAAATTGATTTTACAAGTCGGACGAGTAAATGTCCGGCGAATAAACGAAAATGATCTGTTCATTATACATGAAAATGTAAAATAAATCATCATCTTTTTAACATTCAGGTTCTAACATGCATATAAATATAAATAAAATTTTTAATTTTATACGAAGTAGATAATTAATATTACTGATTAAAACAGCCAATATTATTGATTTTTCAGTGAAATATTATTGATTTACAGTGCTATAATAACTTATAACTGCTATCAGTGACTCTGTTTACTGCTTTCAGTGATAATATACTAATTCATTTTGAAAGAGTGTGTATGAATGCATTACTTTATTAATTCCATAAAAAAACGAACGTTGAACGAATAAAAGAAAAACAACGTATTATAAACATATTTTAAACATTTTTTAAACGTTTTTTTTATAAGCAAAGAAACGTATCTCTTAACATTCTCCAAGTGGATATTTTAACCAATCAGAAACGTTTTTCAGAGTCGATTATGAAACGTGTCAAAGAAACATTTGTTGAAATGTTTTTGAAACAAATATATGCTACCTGTGTTACAATTCAAGGAATTAGGATTCTTGAGATTAGAGTTTAAAAGTTCTTGGCTAAAAGGTTTGCGATTTAAAGCTATGTATTTAAGCGTTAGAATTAATGACTTTGTGTATAAGAACTTAGAGGGTATAGTTTGAGCGCTTGAGATTTAAAGATTCCGAGTATAGAAGTCCAGATTTCAATTTGTAGCGACCCAAAAAATCCTATATATGATGTTTTCAAACGTTTTTAATGTTGAGAGTGACACATAACTGGGAGTATTAACTGCTGTATTTTATTCACTCTCGTATAACGTTTGATAGGGTTTTAGAGTTTTCCATGTTTTAATCTATATTTTTATCACCTGTGGACGTCACGAAAATATATTCAATAGGCTTTTTCCGTTTCTTCGTTAGGTTGAAAGACGGAGATTTTTAACATGTTTCTTTCGTATATTTAAATGTTGATGCAAGATAGTACAATATTATTAAAATAATAATTACTGCATCTAATATCCATATATAAATAATTAATGAAACTCCTCTCTCAACCTTTTTTATTAAAAAAAAAATCAATGCACAATATATGTTGAAAGAGCTTTCTCTAAAGCCTCTAAATCTTTTTAAAGAAGATTAATGCACAAGGTATATTCTGTTATAAAAATTATATTACATTTTTGTACAGAATCACAAATTCGCGAATGGCCATTGATATCCTCACCATTTCCATTAATGTTCATCATTTCTGGATATTTGTATTTTGTTCTTTATGGTGGTCCACGCTACATGAAGAATCGACCACCGTATAAATTGAAAACGTTTATATTGCTTTATGACTTAATACAAATTTTGGTGAACTTATGGTTTGTAAAAGAACATATAGCTTTTGGTTGGTTTTCAAAGTATAATATAATATGTTTACAATTACCAACTCCGGATTCTTCAAATACATATAGAGTATGATTTTACAATATATAATAATTAGTTATTATTGATTATCATTAGTTATTGATATAAATTACATTGTCTGTTAAAAGAAACTAAATTGCTAACAATTTTTAAGGATGTTTTGTACCTATTTTCAAAATATTGAGAATTTAATGAAAATTGTACAGAATGTCCTTTATTAGGACATTCTGTACAATTTTCATTAAATTCTCAATATTCAACATATGTATAGAATCTTCAGTACAATTTTTAAATTCATTCACTAAAGCGTTCACAAGTTATAAGATTTTTAATTTGCACTGAATTAACATGTATTCTTATGGGAAATGTATAACCACGTTGATTCAGATGACAAAAACACAATAATATTCGGAAAATAATATTTAGAAAATAATATTCAGAAATAATATTCACAATTTGTTTAAAATTTGCAAAAGTGTAGTTTAGATACAGAGTAAATATTTGGTCAAATAATATTATATGGTCAAATAATATTATACAAGTACTAACTGGTTAAAAAGATATTAAATATAATTCAATGAAATTAGCCATGTATCTGACACAAGGCGAAATTCTCTGCCAAAAGTTAATGATTTCGATTAACAAAATTCGGAATATTTTAATAAAAACGCAATAAATATTAAAAAATACATCTCTGCACTGTAGCTAAGATCAAATTGTAATATTCCACGCAATTTCTCATATTCAAAATACATCAAACGTGGATATATTCATCAATATTCATTTTCAGCTACTTTTTGCTGTACATACAAAGCATCCTTAAATATAAATTTTATGAGTTATAATAACTCTAACTTCTCTCGAAAAGAATCAAGACAGCATTTAGGAAAATATTATAATAATTATCAAACAGATCTCCATTAGCACAAAGAAACAATTGTCTAATATAATAATATAATAATATTCTCTATAATTTATTCAATCATATATCAAAAAACATGATTAAAAGGAAGAAATATGATTTATTTTATCAGTTTAACTATTCTATAATCCTTTTAATGAAATTCCATTTTATCATTCGTTATTATATTTATTTCCTAGATAATGTATTTTATTTCTTTAATATGTAATATTTTGTACTTTTCACATTAACAAAATTGTGTTTTAGATCTGGAATACTTTGTGGTGGCTATTTTTATTGAAAATATTCGATTTAGTTGAAACTTGTATATTTGTATTAAGAAAGAAACAGAATCAGGTTTCTAATTTACACGTGCATCATCATGTATCTAATTTAATTTTCTGCTGGATTTATTTCCAATACTTTCTGGAGGAGAGGGTGACTTTTCTTTCTCTGCTAAATTGTGCTGTGCACGTAATCATGTATACATATTATTTGAGCTCTGCCCAAATAGGCCCAAAATATCAATCAATTTTACATTTTTTGAAACCTTTTATAACTAAAATACAAATGGTAAGTTATTAGTTATAATATTTTATGTATACATGTACATACTCTTATATATAGCTATGTATATATATGCACGCACTAACGCACGTACATACGTTGTGTATGTATGTAAATCAGTGTGAATAAAATATGTTTACTGAGAAAAAAGCAATCTCCACAAATTCTTTTTATAAAACAGTAATTGCTGTGTTCTTAAAATACAAAAAGAAGACGACATGAAAATTTCGCGAATTAGTTCGATACCTTCAAAATTTATTGAAAGTAGAGGATTGTTGTTCAACGAAATAAGGATATCTCACAGTACCTAGAAGCAAATGCAAGATCAAATTATTAAGAAAATACATTAGCGTTTTTCAACTGCGAAGATGGAAAATGTTGTATAAGTCAATTATCAAGCGACGCGATAGTGTTGCGACGCTATGATAAAACTATAGCTATAGTTGCCAGCGACTACCTGATGCTGATTTATCGACTTATTTATTATTCACCATAAAAATTTAATACGCTAATGCCCGATTTCATCAACTGCGTTTAACTTTAATCTTAGTTTAACTCATTTTTTGTCTCTTTCTAAAATAATAATCTTTTTGTGATATACCTTTTAAAAAAAGGGAAAATAAAGTTTAACAAAAAGGGCTAAAATTTTGAAGTTAAGTGTTCATTAATCATACTTCGAACAATCATTTCAAGATCAATGTAAGCATTTTAGAAAAAAATGTTTGAGACAAAAATTTCTTATTTCTCGCCAGGAAATTCGAATCTGGGCTGTACTTCCGAATGGGGAATCTCTTCGATTGGATGAAACTTTATACATAGCTTCAGGAGATGATATTAAGATCAATTGTCAAGGTTTTATTCACAGGTTTTGAATGATTCAAAAGTTATGAACAAAAATATAACTAAAAATTGACACAAGAAAATTAAGCTTCAACGATCTTGACCGTGACATATGTTGTCAAGGTTACTATTTTGAGTAACATTTTAATTGTCGTTCGTTGTTTATTAAAAAATTAAAAATATATAAAAAATATTTTATAAAGAACTGTAATTCTTTATCTTTGTGAAAAATCAAAACTAAATTAAAATTTATTAATTTTTATTTTTTTTCCTTTTTTTGAACTTAATCAAAACCTATTTTCAATTTAAAATTAAAATTTGATTTAAGACAAACCTTCCTTTGCGTGAATAGTTGCAAATCTATGTAAACTTCGTTTCATCTCAATCGCAAGGGTTCCCCATTCGGAAGAACACTTCCGCAATTAAAAATTAAATGAAATTAAAAATATCATCAAATAGAGCATACCTAGAGTTAGTTATCAAGTTTTTAGCGATTTTTAATAAAATTCACTTCCGTTTTTTTTTTAATGTCCTGTGCAGGTTTAGGGTTATTAGGGACACTTCGTTTCCCTTTACTCTTTTTTTAAAATGTAATGTATTAAGAGAATTATGATATGTTCTAATCTATATCTATCTAATATTCTATCGATCAATTAAATTATTGAGAACTGATTCTTTATACGTGAAACAAATTTCTAGTTTGCAAATAAATAAATAAGCTAAATTAATAACAATAATTTATAACTATAAATTGCATAATAAATAAACTAAATCAATAATAACTTTGATTCTTTGTATAATACGTATAATTAAAATCTTTCATAAATAAGGAAATAAACTAAATGATTAATAATAAAATTTATAACAATGAATTACGTTATGATTTATTATATCAACAGCATCAATTAAATCAATATTAACTTTAGCTTCTTGCACTTGCTTTATATACTTTATATACTTGCACTAATATAGTATATAAAAGTTGATACGACATAAAATAACATAAAATTAAAATATAAGATAAATTTAATTTAACAAAAAGCAGTAATCCTATTAAAAAACTTACGAAGATAAAAAGATACAAGAACATAAAAAATATGCCAACTTGTATAAAACAAAAAAGTTTAAAAAAGTATCTAGCCCTAAAAAATATAAAAACTAAAAATAACTTTTTTCTAAATATAGTCCTCCAAAAAATAAAAAATTAAAATAAAATATAAAATCAATAATTACACTGGTCAACAAAAAAAATAATTTTAACTTTTTCCTCTTATAATTTTGCAGTTTTGGACTTATTTAAGTGTGCTAATTTCGAGTATGACAGTAGTTTATTTAACATCTCTTGTTTTTTAATATTTTTAGACTACCCCCTTTAGACATCACGTTTTTTTGAATTTTACTCGATTCAAAATTATTATTTTTTTAACTTTCGATATGTCTTCGACTTGGAGACGTTGTTTACATAATCCAGATAGTTTTTGTTATATTTGTGGCGAATACATCTTTCAAATATATCGAAAACCTATTTCAGAATTTGTTAATTGTAATATTTTATAAATAAAAAAAGTAGAGCTGATACAACTAAACTAGTATTTTTTTCGTAATCGGTGTTTTAGATATAACCTATAATACATGTTAAATGTCAGGAAAAAATTTGAGTGTTGACCAGTGTTATAACTAGCCAAGAAGTACTTACAAGCAATTTAATTTGTGAAAGTTTGTAATTTAAAATAATATTTGCAATAAAGTCAATCTTACCCTTATACAAAGATATTATACATAGATTTTTTTCCATAAAATTAAAACGCATTTCATTTTTATTAAGAGAAACTTGATTTTTAAAGTAAGTCTAATTTTTGTATGATATATAAAATAGCATCATTATGTCGCAGATTTTATTGCAAATAAATTATCTGACTGTTACTGTGCCATAATGCCGATCACATCGATTATCAATTTCGATATATATATTATGTGGAGATATAGCATTACATAAAGATGTGATTATAAAAAGATATAATATATGTAAAAATTTAATAGTATTACCTAACTGTTCAGTCTCTTGAATAAAATCAATATCTTGTTCATAAGATAGATTAATAAGAAAAATATTTACTAACGCCTTTTGCTGATTTCATGAAACCATGGATCAATGAAGATTACATTTAATAAAAAAAAATAATCAAGAAGTCATTCGACATGACAGTGCAGAATGGCCATATTACAGGATGCGTTATCTAAATTTTGTATGCATGTTACGCTCTATTATAATTAGTTGTATTAATTATTTTTACACATGGAACGGCGATAAGAAACAAGAAACGCACGTACTGTTCAAATTGATATTTAAAAAAAAATTGGAGACTATACTTTTCTCGATAAATATATTTTTTATGTACATTTACATTATGTACATTATTATTACTTTTTACCTAACAAACATACATTTATTGTGATATTTTTTTATTTTGATTATTTTGATATTTAAATTTAAGTGATATATAATGTATATTTGTATAATTTTTTGTTTTGTGAAATTAGATACAGTTTTTTGTGATGACAGCATATCTACTACAAATTTTAAATCCAGCTTGTGAATTACGTTTAAAACTGTCTTTATCTCTTAACGTTATAACATCTGTATTTATTGGAAATTTACTCTTATATCTTTACTTATTTTATGATTTTCATAAAAACAATTATACTAATACACCTAAAGGGAAAAACAATTAATATCAAGAAATAATACATTATGTACCAATAACATCCGACAAAATTTGATTTTCGTTTCTAACACGAATAATCATTTTCAATGTTTTTTCGCTTATTAAGTATATTTTAAATATTTGAAAATAATTTTTTTTCGACCCTCATATATTATATGGAAAATATTCTATTTTTGCTTAATACTACATTATGTGGAAAGTAAATACTTTGTACTTACATAATATAATAGAATTATATTGCAAAAAATTAATAATATTACCGTATATAAAATAGTAAGACTGCACAGAACTTGAGTTATTTCGAGATATATTAAAATCATTCCGAAACAAAACATGTATTTTAAATGTCAAAGTTGATACTTTAATATTATATGGTATTAAAATTTAGAAAAAGAATTGGATACTACTATGTTATAGTAAAAATTCTCAAAATCATTTTTAGTTTTATTAACATTATTTTTTTTAAACTATGATGTGTTGCCAAACTTGGACAACAGATTTTTATTTAATAAGCAAAAATATATTGAAAATAACTATTCACACTCGTATTACAAAAGTAAGATTGGACAATTATCAAACAATTAATTATGTTGATTAATTATGTACATATTTGATGTTAATAAAATATATTGTTATATATATATATATATATATATATATATATAAATTGAGCATAACACAGTGTTGTATTATTTAATATTATTTATTTCCTTTGTTAATTTCATATATATATATATATACTCAAATATTTTCAAACCTGTAGGTTTTAGAAGAAAATTTTTTAGAAAAAAGTTGTTTGGTTCTGAGGGGGTCAGAAAATAGAAATATTAGTTGGACCTCGAGTGGCGTTGTTAAGGTCATATGATGGTCACATTGAATTTTTTAAATTGAAATCTATTTTTTATTGTATATTCTTGTAGCTTATCTCGAGAGCTTTCCAAAACACTATAACGAAGTATTTTTTAAGAACTTTTTGAGTTATGAGGCTTGAAATAATTTCTTAACTTTACATAAATCATAAAATATTTTGTAAAACATTCTTTTCTTGATTATTTTACCTTAACTTTTATGCACAAAATAATGTGAGGAATCGATTGGTGTAAAGAAAACACATAATTATTTCAAAGAAAAAATATGTAATTTGCATAATTACATATTTTTTCTTGAAAACAACTATCTGTTTTCTTTAATTTTTGGCAATTAATATGTTCTTATCTTTATATTGTTTCGTTGAATAAGACAAGGAAAAGATTGTTTTATTAGCTTTACACGAGTATATTATATATATTCGTGAATATATAATTTTTATTTCTATGCAAATAATACATGATAAATTTCAATTCCAGAATTTGACTTATAAAATATTTTATGTGGTTACATTTTTACGATTAAATATAATATTTACAAATAATTAAATATTTAAATATAATATTTACAATATTTTGTTCATAATATTGAACATATAAAGATGTTTTTTTTGCAATGCATCAAATTGTTACATTTATGTAGTATTAATTTTAAACTGGTTGCATTTGATTGACGAATCTGATATGAATCGGATGCGAAGAACGAATTATGAGATTGTACTTAAATCGGATATTTTTTAAATGCTCAATGTGTTCCAAGTAAAAATTATGCACCAAAGGAACTATTAGAGCTTTCATCTCCAGCAGCGCAAATCGTTGACCTACAATTTAAAGTTTATGAAAAAATCGACACGAAGAGAAACAAAAATTAATTCACCTATGCAATTCCTTGATCCTGTGCTGAATGATATATAAGATTAAGAATGACGATTCTGCATTCTGCATCCTCTCGGGCAAGAATCTATCCGGATCAAATACTTCTGGATTTGGTTAAAAATTACACAGATCTGGCTCTGTGAACTCGATAGATATTAAGAAATAAGATTGTTCCAGAGGATACCATATATGATTCAAGAAGCATATTATAAAATTTAAAAAATACTGAAATTTATAAAAATAAGAATTTGTTAAGAAAAATAAAACATAATATAATATTGTATATAATAAGATAATTGCATTCTTAAAATACTTAAAATAATTTATTTTATTTTACATTCAATAATATATACCCTTGTTATGTAACATGTTCAAAAATATATGCAACAAGAAAATGATAAATTACGTAATCTTGTATAATCCCCACAGTTTCGAAATGTAAAAAACACGGTAGGATACAAACGTAGCGTTTCTTTCAAGCATCTTTCTAAATACGATAAATTTTGCAATGCTTTTATATTAAGTTTTCTTTCGTTTTCTTGCATCACAATATCGACTTCGACTTTCTCTCTTCAGTTTCTGTATTATATAATTGATAATAATTAAAGTATTGAGACAATCATCTTTTTCCCAGTGACTTCATCTACCGCGGCCTGGGTCCGTAGGCTGATAGGACTCTGAGTTACGAAAATTATGCGAACTTATTTTTAATATTTTAATTGGGCGCCAGCTAGCTTGAAGAGACTAGCGACTCTCTAAATTTTTTTATAAATAAGAACAACTGCATGAAACAATCGCAAGGTGGGTACAGTTGGGGACCCGAGGAAAGATGTGCAAAATAAATGAAACAGTGCTAAAGTAAGAAAATATCGAAAATATATATATATATATATATATATAATATATATATATATATATATATATATATATATATATAAGAAAATATAGTCAATATAATTTGACTTACGTTGATGCTACAATTTATTTGTCGTTGTATGCTCAGGCTGACCCTGACCTTCGACTTTGGTAACACAATTCACTTATAATATATTGAATATAACAAAACGCTAACAAAGCTCTTTATACGATAACTTAACAAATAACACGAAAATTTTTTTACCAAAATCTTGAAATGAAACAATCTTTTACGCTATAATTTACAAATTTTCTTTATACGAGGCGACAGGATTCCGCGAGGGCTGAGTTCATCTATTTGCTAGATCCTCGAGCTAAGAAGTAATTCCTTGATCGCGCCAGGCGATCGATCTCTTCCTCCACCAAGTGGGGATTTTATCTGGCTAAATCAATATTTTGACGCGTTCGCGTCAATCTCTCTCCGGCTCCTTTTTTCTCTCGGCCGTCTTCTCTATAATTTTAATAATATAATTTTAACAACTAATCGATGGATAAAACAAATATATAATTTCCGCAATTAGCGCTCGAGGAGTCCCCTCGAGCGTTGACATCAAGAAATTTTTATTTTCCTGTCACAGTATATTTTACAGTTCTAATTCTTACGGATAAAAATAAATTCTCAATAAATCAAAATAGAATATTTATATTTATTTTAGATATATTTTTAATATTTTTTCGGAACATATTTATGTTACGTCCAGACCCTGGAATGGATGGGCCGTATGGAAGAACGTAAGTTACTTACCCCGTGACTATCTTTATCTGCGGACGTGTGTATGGATCGGATTGAACGAATGTGAAGGACCTGACGCAGATCAGCGACCGAAGGTCTCTTTAACGCTGCGTTTTTAGCCTATTCGTTCGGTGGTCCCTTTTAAGTAAAGGAATTTAATCATTATTACGCGGGACAGGACCTCAGTACGATTTCAGGATTTAGGGAAGAGAACGGGTTAAATAATTAAATTATACATTAAATTAAAAATATATATATTATAAAAAAATAAAGAAAGAAAAATACATCTTAGCAATTGTAGCTATGCGTGAGTGGGTATCTGTGTGTATATTATATATTCTCGCGGGTGTTACAATCGTTCGGAGGTTATCAGTCAGAATATACAGGAAAGAATTTATGTTAAGAATTAAATTCTGACTGGTTAATACAATATACATATAATATAATATAAAAAATATAATATAAGAAATACAACAAAATAAAAAGTGAATGTGTAATAAAAATATGAATAACGTTTATTCATTAAAGAAAGTATAGAATTCGTCGCTTGCGCATATGTGTTATAATTAGAATTAAAATTTTCAAAATTCGCCGAAACACAGGTCCAAATTAAAATACAACAATAAAATTAAGATAAAAGACAATAATTAAAGTGATCAGTCAGGCGTAGAGAGCTAACAAATCAATAATGTAGAAATGTTAATCAAAATATATATTAATAAATCATAATTACAAGCTTCAAGTAAGATAGTTATAATATATAAAGATGTTGAAGATGTGTGCGGACGTTTCGACTTACTTTTAAGTCATCTTCAGCGCAAAAAATTGTAACGGAGATAGAGCATATTGTAAAAGTCCATATAGAGGGAGAACATTAAAAAATATACGCAGAAAGAGCTAGTAAAAATCTTATAGGAGATGCAACTCCATACGCAACGGTAATACATGGTTGATTATCAACAGCTTACTGATTTTTTTAAAAAAGAGATGACTCCAAACGTAGCGGTAAACATAGATAGTTGTAAGCGGCCTCCAAATATTTCCATATGGAATAATACGACTCTAATTTGGGTTGGTAGGCCCAAAATTGAGCACGATTCCCTGGAAAATCTGTGATACCGCATAACAAAAAAAAATAAATAGACAAAAAAATATTATATAAAACAATGTAAGTGTATATGAGGAGTTAAAATAAATACATAACGGTTGAGATTGAATACTAGGTTTAAAAAATGGATCATAAAAAATAAAAAAAAGAAGAAGAAAAAGAAAAATAATAAGTCAAAAGTATAAAACAATGATTGTCATTGGTATAAAAAACAAAAAATAAAAAACAAACAAGTATGCGGTCCATTAGTAATTAGTTAATTAAAATTAAATAAAGAAAATTCTAAGAGAACATGATAAGAATGTGCGAAAAAAGTAATTACCATATAATCAAATTTGTGCGGAAATTAACCGTTAATATGAACATAAAAATATTATTATGATAAAATTAACTTACATCGCCATGAGGAACAAAGTAGAGAAAGTGTGTCGCTAACTCGTTTGGTGAACAATTAAGTTGACAATTTTAAAAAATATATAAGAATTATAAAAGTAAAAAATCTCCGTCTGTATTACTTTCTTGATGACAAGAATAAAAGTGACAAGAGCAACGAACAAGCTCTTTCTGCGTATATTTTTTAATGTTCTCCCTCTATATGGACTTTTACAA